TATATATATATAATTAAAAAAATATGTATATATACATATATATATACATAAAACGTGTGTGTGTTAGTTACAACTTATAATTAGATGCAGAGTCTCTTCCTCTCTTTCTTTTTCACGGATTTAAAGAAGGGGACGCGTAATTTTTATGACCGTCGGCAAATGTTGGCAAGTGTTAGCGCGGTCGCAACGGTACACGGAATTAATAATGACGAAAGAGCGAAGGGACATTCTTGACCAAGGCGCGGGAGCATATATCACGATGCCCCATTATGCTTATGAATATAAATGCACCCTCGGGGTGGCCACAATAAATGCCGGCCGTTGCGCTGCCGGATCTCTGAATTCTGCTCTACTGCACGTACACGTGGTATAGCCGCGGAACAACGAAAATAAAAACTGCGTCAGTCTCTACCTCCCCTCTTTTTTCTTCGTTCTTTTCTAGCCCAAGTTCTGGACGAACGCTGGGCGAGAGGGCGAGCATAAAAGAATAATTAAAATAAAGTAGGCTGTGAGCGCAACTCGAAATTATACACGTGCAGTAATGATAACAACAAAATGAGTAATAAACCTTTGCTTTTAGGTGTACGCAATTCGTAAGCCTAATGAGTCGGCTTCAGAAGTCACTTTTTTTTAATCGAAAAAAGAAACTCTAAACGCAATTTATTGTATTCTAGATTGTGCCTATATGAATTATTTTCATTGATTCTGTTTTCTAACAAACGTTGAAACATTAAAAAATTCAAATATAATTCTTTAATGATTCTTTAAATTTCTTTAAATTTGAAGAATATATTTTAGTTGTGTTTTAAGAATATAAAATATTTGTATTTATTTTTCACTGTTTAATGTTAAATATCGATAATTTATAGTCATATATTTCGAAAATGTTTAGAAAGAATATACTATATAAAGAAAATAAAAATGCTAAAAAGTTAACCATGTTTATCAGGTTACATAGCTTGTTAGAACGAAGGGCCCGCAATGTTATTCACATTAAGCATCGAAAATACCGCCGTTTCTTAGTCATTTAGACGAACGGCGCAAAAATCTCCGACCACAAGTCTTGTCAGTTTCTTCTTTAGCGATTAACTTGTAGGGGTTGCAGCTCCTGCAGCTCCTCCTCGGTTTCTTTTTCCTCGCCGGTACTCTTTTATTCGCCGCCTACCTTCCCTTTGGATCGCTTCCAACCGTTTGAATCTTCCCTCACCTTCGCAATCGGTGCAGCCGATATCCTATCTCCGTCACTCTCTCTTTTTCCTTCTACCGTTCTTCTATACGTTTTATCGCGTTTGTCCATCGCCATTTATCTCCGGTATATCGGTTATAGCGGTTTAACACCCTGTCGTCAAAGCTCCATATTATCATATTATCGAATCATACTCAACCATAAGATACAATAATAACGGTACCTGCGTGTACACATATATTTAATATATTTTAACCTCAGTTTTTTTAGCAATAATAACATAGCATCTGTTCTTTTTTCATGTATTACCATTTCAGCTTGAATTTTAATAAAAGTTCAATATTGGTTTAACGCTGAAGGTTGAACGCGAATAAAAAAAAATTGTTTCTGTGCGATACAGGTTGACCATGCCCTTAAATAATGTCACAATTTTCAGATGGCAACATATTGTTTTAAAATAAAAATGTGTTCACATTGCAATTTTATAAACAATAATATTCCATTTGGACGATTGTGGTACAACTAATAGAATAAAATTATTGATAGGTATAAACGCGCGCGCGCGTGACGTGAATTGACAAAGACATACATTTCCATTCATTGTTAGTTTCCTTACTCAATCATTTATTTCGCGTTATTAAAAGCGACTTTGTTAGCGTGGTAATCAAATTTAGATTTGTGTGGCTTGCCGCCACATACGCTGTTTTTATTGGTAATCCTTTTTGTCTCCACCGTGCTAATAAAAACGGATCTATCCAGCAGGTGTTCAGTATGTACCGCAAGCTGACACTTTTGCGGTATTATTGTGCTTTGTGGAAGACCACGCATAATGGTCAACGAGATTACCTATCACATGACGTTCGCTCGATCTTAATAACGCGCGCATATTTGTTGGTTTTTAAATAATAATAGTATATAAATAGCAATATCGTGTGAATATATCGTGTATTGTAACGCAGCATTTTTTAAAAAATAAACCTTTGACAGAATCTTATCGTCGCACGTAAGTCCTATAAAGTTAAAATAAATGCGATGATAAACAAAGATACAATAAATAAATTTTCAAGACTTGCAAAATCTCTTCAATATTTCTGAATATTTTTAAAAGATTACTTTATGTTGTTTACAATCCTTTTTTTTATTTTTCAATAATAACGATCGTTGTTTTTTCATGTTACAGTCTGCAACCAGTTTAGCAGAGGCGTGTTTTCTATGTTGGGCGCCGTGAGTCCAGACTCATTCGATACGCTGCATTCTTATAGCAACACCTTCCAAATGCCATTCGTGACACCCTGGTTTCCCGAAAAGGTAAACAATTATTCTTCCTTTTAAATTTGTATAGTTAAGATAGCTCGTGTCTTTATTATCTCATATTTCCTACTTTTTAATCCTTACAACACATTTGATTGGAATTATATCAGAATGATAATCGTTATGTACATCTTATTAAATATACATTCATTCAGACTTTACGTCACTGCTCTGGGTTTTTCCACGCAATTATGTAATGTTATCGGTTCAAAGAATTTATCCGTTTTTACAGTGTTTATCTCGCTTGATGCAATATTATACGATTGGTCATAACTAATGTTTTTTTCGTACAGCGAAGCAATAAATCGAAGCCTTATTTAAATTTAATTTATTCATGAAACCTGTTTTTCTGTGTTAGAATTTATACATCTCTCCTTCGATGTGCATACTGAAGCAAAACATATACGTGTAAAAGATACCATTTTGTAAATTGATTCTATTTAAATTATCTACAAAATTTACATTTTATTTTGTTTCAGTATTTGATAATTATTGAAGTATTTGACACAATTATTTTTTATAAAAATAATATATTACGTAACATTACTCGCATTACGTTTTACAGCTCATTGAATTTAATTTATATCGAAGAGTATATATACGTAATGGCTTGGAGTTGGCCCTTAAATCACGCGTTTATAGCAGGTACCCTTATAACCGATGCATTCATCGTGAAAATAAATTTCTCATTCTACATTTATCGATTCAACATGGAAAAAAGAAAAATACACGCTTACGGTGTGCGTGTGTATGACAATAATTGTCGTTCGCGAAATCAATGGTTTTGTTTCGCGTTGCAGCTGATAATTAGCGGCGGCGCGATATGCATGATGATGGATTTGATCGATATGATCATCCATACAAATACGTAAATATATGTATATGCGATACATACAGTATACATATTACAATTTGAATTGCGAAATGAATTGGCTACCCGAAAATTTATTCGCCTGCTCGAATTGCCGGGGCTGCATTTATCGCGCCTCTGTAAACTGATATCGCGTTAGGTTCTATAGAATGAACGCGTCGGGTTCGTGAGTATTTCGTCGTTGTGTGTGCGTATTTTTCCCACGATATATTTCCGCGCAGTATAAGTATATATGTGAGCGCGTAACGAACGTCGATGTCGTTTAAATGGTAATCGCCCGGTAATGCTGATTCGACGCCTCGGCTTTCTTTTTTTTTTTTTTTTCTTTTTTTGAGGGCCAATTACGGTTCGCCAGAAATGGCCATTTATATAGAGAAAATCCTTTTTCAATTTCCATGAGATCCTTCCCCGCACTGCGTTTGCATCGCTGCCTTTTCAAGAAGAAAAAGAGACGTTATCGATATCCATGGAAATTTAATACATGATGGTATGATTTTTCCGGTTGAGAGATAATTAATTTTTGAAATCTGGTATTTATTTTGCTTTCCGAGAGATCAATAACAAAATATCAAACGCTATATATTTTTAACGGATATTTATAAATAATTATCATAAAAACTAATTCCTTTTTTCTATAAAGTCTCGCGTGGTATAGATTTAAAACGTCGCAATATTTTGCGAGAAAAAAAAAGGCTAAATAGAGATTCCGACAACTGAAATTAGTATCAAAAGACATATATTTCGGCAGTGAATCATGATGCGCATGTACCAGTTGCACATTCGCGAGGAATTAAATTTCAAAGAGAATTCATGAGGGGTAAAAGCTGTGTGTATGTGTGAATATTTGTGTGCATGTGTGTACGTTATGCATAGCCTCAGATTAAAGTTTCGATGTAGCTCTGCTTTTCCCTCCTAAGCAGAATTAATTCCGCTAGCGCGTTGAGTGGAGGACATACGCGATTACCTATCGAAAATTTCACAACTCCATACGATCGATGAATGGACGGGATTATTGTACGTAGGTCCTGACGCCGTCCTCGGGTCTCCTGGACTTCGCCATAAGTATGCGGCCGGATTACCATCGCGCTATCATCGATACGGTGCGATACTACGGTTGGAAGAAAATCATCTACCTCTACGACTCCCACGATGGTAAGTCCCTTACCCCGCGGCTTTCTCATGCATTTCTCATTTTACAAGGCGATAGCCGCGGGCTGCAGCCGCGCAGCGCTCGCACCTCGACCCCCTCGCGCGATATTTCCCTTTTTATTATATCCGCCAAGTAGGCTCGGTCTCCCGTGGCCAACTTTGCCGATATCGTAGACACGGGATATCGAGTACATTCCCATTTTTAACGGATATTTATAAATAATTATCATAAAAACTAATTCCTTTTTTCTATAAAGTCTCGCGTGGTATAGATTTAAAACGTCGCAATATTTTGCGAGAAAAAAAAAGGCTAAATAGAGATTCCGACAACTGAAATTAGTATCAAAAGACATATATTTCGGCAGTGAATCATGATGCGCATGTACCAGTTGCACATTCGCGAGGAATTAAATTTCAAAGAGAATTCATGAGGGGTAAAAGCTGTGTGTATGTGTGAATATTTGTGTGCATGTGTGTACGTTATGCATAGCCTCAGATTAAAGTTTCGATGTAGCTCTGCTTTTCCCTCCTAAGCAGAATTAATTCCGCTAGCGCGTTGAGTGGAGGACATACGCGATTACCTATCGAAAATTTCACAACTCCATACGATCGATGAATGGACGGGATTATTGTACGTAGGTCCTGACGCCGTCCTCGGGTCTCCTGGACTTCGCCATAAGTATGCGGCCGGATTACCATCGCGCTATCATCGATACGGTGCGATACTACGGTTGGAAGAAAATCATCTACCTCTACGACTCCCACGATGGTAAGTCCCTTACCCCGCGGCTTTCTCATGCATTTCTCATTTTACAAGGCGATAGCCGCGGGCTGCAGCCGCGCAGCGCTCGCACCTCGACCCCCTCGCGCGATATTTCCCTTTTTATTATATCCGCCAAGTAGGCTCGGTCTCCCGTGGCCAACTTTGCCGATATCGTAGACACGGGATATCGAGTACATTCCCCGACTTCTGCGCGGAATAAAAACGAGCGTACGCGTGTCTGATATCGTAACCGTATCTTTGTATATCTATGTAAACGAAATACATATATGTATATATATATATATGTATAAAGACGTTTATAGTCGGATATCAAAAATGTGATGCATTCGTAAATAATTGTGATTTTTTTAAACATGAAGTTTATACCCAAGGGAGAAATTTTTATAAGACAGTACGTGGACTCTTTCTTTGTTTTAAAATCATATAAACAGAATAAAGTGTCATTATAAGATATAATTACAGTCAGAAATAAAACGCTTCTTCATAGGAAAAGTTGCCGCTTGAAAATAAATTGCGTCATGGAAATGTTACTTCTAATTAACTACTTGTATTTTATATTTAGTTCGCTCTCTCTTTTCTTTTCGCGTTGTTAAAAACCACGCGTTTTTCAAGTTGACTCGAATGAAATCGTGTGTATGTGTGCATGTTTCACACAACTGTAACATTTGCAACTTTAAATGTGAAATTCAAAGGACAGAATGAGTTTTTGTATATCACATAATTGCATCTACAATTGCTGATTTTGTGTTAGTTTTTACATTGAATCAGTAATTTTATATACAGAATTACAGACACCAATGTACTCGAATTTTCAAGGTAAGCAAACAAATAGGTAACATCTGTCGGGAATTCACGTAGCTTCGGGCAAGGGCTTTACCTTTTAATTGCGCTAGTTGCACAATTATCTGTTTGTCTGACATGCGTGCGTAATAATCTAGTAAATGTAATACTGTAATTAATTTGATATTAATTCATGTTATCTCAATCATTTATTCAAAGAAGTATTTTAAAAATACAATTGATCAAATGATGCATCTTAAAATACAATCTTTTATTATCTAATATGTTGACTTTTTTTTTTTTAGGATTTTCATAAAAATCGTCGGTAATGCTAGAATCAAATTATGCTTTCAAAAATGATTTTTACTCTTATAACACGAAACGGTGGAACAGTAACTAACACAAGATAGTAACAAGACTCTCTTCTACAAACTGTTTTATACGAAATCTCTTGTCAATCTTAATGTTAGAGGTGAAGCGATCGCGGTTTAATTACTTAATTAATGGAACATGGGGTAACTCCGACTGAACGAAACGATTAATCACTAGACAGATCGCTAGACAGTTTTGTATCTCTCGTCGACTTCCGGCCGTTATAACTTGGTCACGTGCCTCGGGCACGAGAAAGCCATTTGGAATTCCTCGAGCCGACCAATTGCTCTTCTTCGACAAACTTCGATAAGAACGAGCTTGAGGTAGTCTAGTATCGCAGAAACGGAGAGAGTTTAATTACCGAATGCAAATGCGAATATACTTTAGGGACTATCGTGCTGTCTCCGTGCGCTGAACGACCTCTTTCCTTCCTTCCTCTCGTTCCATCTCGTCCCATCTCGTCCTCAGCTCTTCCCATTGCCTGCTATCTGACGTAGCTTAACCATGTCGTTTCTCGATTAAAGCGGGTATGAGGAAAGGAGCAAAACGATGAGCATTCGAAGATCATCTGGATTTCATGGTATATTTTTTGTTACTTATTTGTTCTCAACCTTTTTCCCAATTTAAAGTGTCGCGAATAATGCAAAGAATCAGTATATGAGTTAACAATGATGAAACATAATTCGTTACCAAATTTGCAATATCTAGAACTTGTGACGTTCAATTATTGTAATTAATAATTACATATTTATATTTCGAAAGAAAACCTCAGTTTGTAGATTCGAAGAAGACACTTACTGAAATATTCATTGGTTTTCCGTTATCGTAGAGGAAAGTTATTAACATAAAAAATATATTCATATCTTACGTAAAAGATTTATACCACATATCTAAATAGACGATGAGCAATCGTGTCATAATATATACCTTAATCGTTTTTAGAACTCTAGTCAGATGTCGTTTTTTATACAACATTATTAATATGTAGATGCATCATAGAGATTATGGTCATAAAAAAGAAATAATCAATTCAAACTTTACACAAGAATGCAACGTGCTTTGAAAACTTGCGTATTGCTCTCAGTATTCGTAGAATCGTACAAAGCAATGACAACGATGCCCTTAAATCAATCTGACAGATGACGTTATTTTCCGCATGGAAAATATGTATAACTGATGCAATTTCAAGATTAAGATACGTCAGAATCCTTTTTTCCTTGATTGCATTCTTACGCTAATAAAATGAATCGATATTGGTCAGATCGAACGTATCGAGATAAGACCGATTGCGCGAATGATCGAGAGAAAGTTTTGTCGGCTATGCTCTATTAGATTTTCCTGTTAGCGATGTAAATATTACATCAGATTTCTCTCTTTAGATTCTAACGCGCGCTTTTAGAGAATTTATGTGAGAAATTGGCCGTTGGTATTTGAACGGGATTTTTTCTGTTGACATTTAGAATAGCTTCCAAGTATCTCAGAATTTTGCAAACTGGAAATATAATCAATGATATATGTGTATTATAGGAACACTCGGTATTTCAATGTTATCTACATCAGACGTGAAATTAACTCGCAGACTGTCACAACGTTGCTCAAGGATGGAATTAAACTTTTTCCCATGAGAAAATAGACTTTTTCCGACAAGGCCTGCCATATTTTTATCTCTCAAGGTTGACACATCTAGTGTAAATAATTTCTTGTCTTCGAGAAATAATTTTGTAATTCTATTCGCGTAATATTTGTCCTTACGATCTCCTTAGACGCAACAGCGAAAATTATCAAGATGCCATGTCACGCAATGACTAGAATAAGAACGCGCAATTTGCATTCCTCTCTCGTTATATTCTCTCACTCACAGGTAAAATATTAAATAAACATGATAGAATAAACATTTATGGATTACGTTCTCGCTTTCAATTAGCAAATATTTGTATGTGGAAATGAAAACGTCGCACATGAGCTATTGAGTTCATTCCAAAGTTAAATCCTGCAGAGCCAATAACAACGAATTAATAGCGAACGTATCAGTTTTCCCAGGAATTCCTGTCATCCGGCATCCATATCGTCACGCCCGTTTGTCGAAGTAATGGAAAAAAATTATAAGCCGTCGAATGGAATAATTTTTAAAACACGTGACACGTGACACGCGCGTTCCGCATTACTAACATTACAAGGTGGTTAAGTGATTGAGTAAAATAGAGGACGAATGTGAGAAAAACTACGTGGGAAAAGCCTGATGCGCGCACGTGTCTGAGAAATAATGCGGTAAGGTAATTAGCTGTTACAGGCCGCGTTGTCGCTCGCTCTTCATCCGAGACGAGAGGGGATTCGATTAAAATCACAGTGACGTGCCTGCGTATCAGAGTCAAGCTCAGTTTCCTTTCCGGCGTCTTTCAGAATGACAGCGCCGACGTGCGTCGAGATCTCGGCATCTCGTTCTCGACTCTCGTAGTGGTGACAAGTGCTTTACAAAGAGGTGAACTATCGATATAATTATTTATGCGTGTACACTTTTATACTGCATATTTCGTGTGTTTCTTGTCACTTGAACAACAACTCCAAATCTATCGTGAAATCGTGTTTTTAGAATTATAAGAATTTTGTAAAAAAAGTTTAGAATCAATATCATTGTTGAAATTGATTGAATATAGACAAAACTAAGAATCGAGAAATAACTTTTATTAAAAAAAAAAGAAAAGATTACTTCGTCTTTCCAAAACATTCTTTCCAATCTCAGAATTTTATCTTTAAAAGACGATGCTGCGATTTAATAATGTATGCATTATTAATACGCACATATGCACAGTGCATTAATACGAATATACATATAAGAGAAATTAAGGCTATCAGACAAAATTATCACAAGTACCAATTGCCAGACAAGGAGATCAAGCTTAAGGAAATCTTCATTGTATAATCAGATTAGCTTTAATGCAAAAGAGAGAGAAAGAGAGAGAGAGAGAGAATTTGCATTAAAGATTCAGATACGAAAATATATTAAGATAATATGTACGCTATCGTAATTCATTATTCAAATATGCTCGAAAAATGTGGGTGGTATCATATATCATATCCATCAAGTAGACTGATTGAGTAATTTCCAATTGCATTTAGCTACCTTCCATAATTAAGTAACAGCTCGCTGACAAAGGCGAATTAAATTCTCGCGTGATAATAGCATGTCATTGTTAAATCAGGTGTACCGATGTGATTGTGATAAAATATGCGTGTACGTATAATGACTTTTATATAACTGTCAATTAATCGGGTCGATGCTCGTTCAAGCCTCATGTTAGCGCATAGCTGTAACGCGTACTTGTAAATTGGTTTATTATGCACGCCATAGGTAATGAAGCATCGCGGTAAAGTCATAACTCAATTTGCAGTGAAAATTACTTCGTAATATCAACGTAAAAGAAGAATGACAATCCAATCAATTATCCTTTATCTATAGACTCTTTCATTAATTTAGATTTTTTTCCTAATAAAATCTAGAGACAGAGAGATCGTTATTTTATATTTTCAATTTTCAACATTAAATGTTTTTGTTATTCTCAAGTTAAAAATCTATTAAAGCATAAAATTAAGTTTGAAGTAACAGCTACTTTATAATCAGTAATTGCATTTTTAAAATTTAATTTTTGAGAAGTTCTCTGTCATGAATTGCCTATAATTTAAGAATTTATAGATCCTCTTCAATTTATTGTTGAGAAAAAATTGATTCCAAATTAATAAATAAACTTAAAAAAATTCTCATTTATCTAAAAATATAACCAAAGAGAGAATAATTGAAAAGAGAGATAATCCAACGCAAAATATTTTTAAACACACAGATGAGAAAAAATTAAACATTTTTAGTAGTTTCTTTTATTCTGAATATGATTTTTGGGTTTCAAATTGTTTTATTACGTTACAATTTTGAAAAATTTATGATGAATGCAATTTCTTTTGAGAAATGAAAGTTCTAATAACATATTTAATTTTGATTGCAACAAAATTGCTCCACCACGTTACATATCGTAATATGACATAATACAATACATTTAAATTGCTCTTTTTCGCTACTTTAATCACAAATTTCTTAAAATTTTTTGCATTTTAAAAAAGTTATCTTTGTTGAATTGTGTTATTTATCATAAACTAAAAGCCATACACATGGACAATTCTCTCGATTCGAGACGTCGCGATTAATCGTTCATCGACTACGCAGTTTAAGATGAAATATCATGCACCTCTGGACGTGACGACCTTGGGGTAATAGCCGTGGGTCTTTCTTCTTGCATTTTGGCGATAACTGGCTAAGCGAAAGGAAACGTTTCGGTATAAATTGCTGATGCAAGGACTCGGCCTGTGTTCCGGTCGTTTCGACAACCTGTTTGAGCAAGACAAAGAACGTAAACTAACTGGTTTTGGGAGTTCGAGCCGGTTTTTTCGAAGGATTTTATACCAGCTAAGAGAAGCCTATATTATCAAGCCTATATTAGAGACCCAAATGAAGAATGTATATATACCTATATACATGTATGTATATATTGGTTGCTATGTTCAATTAAATATTTTTTGGTTGTTTTAGAAAGCGCAGAAATATTATCCAATATCAATATAAGCAGATTCTTTCTATTTTCTATTCTTACGAAAGATTGGTACTTATTTTAAACCGGATTATATTGCTAAATCATATCATAAAAAGAAAAAGAAAGAATATTCATGTAATATTCTTACATGAATATTCTTCTAACTTACATGCAATTATCGCAGTTACAAACCGTATATTATTAAAGCAATAAATCTTAATCACCAATGCTACACACCGGTCATCTATTGCGCAATATTATACGATCAAACACGTTAACATTTTCTCTAATCGTTACGAAAGAGAAGAAATTATTTTGTAGTATAATATCTTGAAAATGAAAAAGGGGAATACAATAAAATTTTAATTATTGGAACTAGTGGCATTGTAATTGCGTGTCGGTTACATAAGACCATAGACATTTTTTTTTAACTCATTATGTATTCTCTTTCTTAAAAACGACAGCAGCCAGCTAAAATTTGTCAATATTATTTTATTATTTAAAAGAAATGTCGTTTTGATATTAATGTGAGAATATACGTTGAATTTTTTTTTTAATAACAAAAGAATTTATTGTAATTTGAAAATATTATATATATATTAATCTTAATATATTAATCGCAATGAAAAGTTGGCACAAGACTTTTGGAAAGTTTACATAACTTTTGCGATATATATTTTGCCAACTGTTAACTTGCTATTATAATCGATATATAATTTTTAAGTTTCAATAATTTAAAAATACGCGTAAGTAACATAAGACATAGAGACAATATTGCTAAGTAAACGAGTGCAATTATAAGCATTCAAGTATAAAGAAAATGATATTATGGCAGTTTGAGTATTTGCACTGGCACAAGCGGCTGTGCTTCCGAATATACATCGCTTTGTTGGGTAAGTTATGCTTTGCAATTGTCTTTTGCAATTTAAAATTGGAAAATTATCTATATTTTTTTAAAAATATTTTTGTTTTGAATCTCGTCCATTTAAGAAAATTTTGACCATCAAACGCGATGAATAAAAGAGATAAAATGAGAGAAAAGCATGAAAACAAAAGGCTGTTAGTACTAGTTTATTTTCATAAGTGTATCAGTGAATGATTATTTCTGTAATTATGTACAATAACATAACTAGATTTTTTAAATACAGGTAATGATACAGAATTCTTGTATTATTATAATTATAAATTAGAAAATAATTATTTACTAAAGTTAAAAGTGGAACTAACTTTGTCAATTTGACATTTAGCTTCTTATTAATTCTAAATAATTATTTTATTTGTGAAATTAATAAACTTTACACTTCATTATTAAACACACTTTTACAAAAAATCCATATACGAAAAAAAAATAAAATTTTTATTTAGTAGTTTTAAGTTATCTATAATATTTATTAACCAGTCAAATTTATATATATATATATATTGCATCTACTCAAGTAGATATTTCGTTTTGGATAGCGTGTTGTCAAAGCGCGTATGAATTTTGCGGCAATAAATTCGTATTAAGGAACATCCGGTTCGGTCTCTGTCTCTTAATAGCGGGTGTATTGTATGGCCAGCCATAAACTGTCGCTTTGGGAGGCATCGCATCGCGTGCCTCAAAGCAAGAGCAAGTGCTCTCCGACCGCGGTGGGTGGCGGTCATGCGTGCAGACGTAGCCATTTACACGTGTGAGCGTATCGCACCCTCAGACGGGAGATATGTTGCGCGGAATCTAGTTAGAACCCTTGTTGGCTTTATCTCCGTTTGGCTCGGAGGTCGGCCGTGTTGCTAAATGAGAAGGATCAGCCGTTTCTGCTATCGTAATAATTAGCAAAGATAAAACTTCGCATTTTCAATTTTCCGCATCTTTGCGAAATTTTGACATTCAAATCGAGATACACAAGCTGGACGAAGTAAACTTTATTCGCGTATTGACGATAATACGGTCAATAACATTGTTCCTACGTAATAACTCTTTTAAACAAATCTCATTAGTAGATAAGTCGTCGTAATCTATGAATCACACATCTGGCAAATGATTCTTTACTAATATGCATTTATATAATAACTGTGATCAATAGGAAGCAACTGAAAGTGTACACAGAAACAAACGAGAAGTATCCATTTGCAGTTATGAAATATTATTTAATCGCATCGCACATTCTTCGTGCTGCTCTCGTAGTAGCAACGACTTTTCGCTCTGTTTAACCGTGAAAACGCAAAATAACGATTTTAAAAAATCTGAGAAAAGCGACGATTAACGTGAAATCAGAAAGAACATTATCTGACACAATGGATCGTGGTATATTGCGACAAATATTGATTGGATTCGTATGTAAGTATCAAGAGATGAGATTATTTCGACACTCGGAAGTATTCTCTCGTGAATGTGCCCTCGAAAAAAAATCTGACGTATGATCGCTTCCCAGGCAGTATTTTGATCATCGATTGCGGCCTCCACGAAGGATGGAGCACGCCGACCATACCGAAATTCAATGACGAAGATCCTCTAAAGGTGACGACTGATGAGATTGCTTGGATCGTGAATCTCATGTATGTGGGGGTCGGTATCGGTTCGTTGGTACCTTTTATACTGATGGACAACATCGGACGTAAAGGAACTTTGCTATTCACCACGATACCGAAGATTATCTCCTGGATCTTCATCGGGCTGTCCACTTCTGTGCCGTTTATATATGTTGGACGAATACTCGCGGGCGTAGGATGCGGTATAACTTATGCCGTGATGCCAATGTATCTCGGCGAGATCAGCAGCAAACGGACCAGAGGTCCTTTAGGTACGACGATGTCAGCTGTTTCTCGAGCTCGTTATCAATGTGCAATGCTCGACACGATTCTTATCGTCGTATTAACATATTTATCGTTCTACATAGAATTGATAGATATGTATATTTGTTAACATGTGTCAATGTTTTTTATCAGCTGATAAAGATTTTTAATAACACACTTTTTTCCAATTCGTATTTTTTTAAAAGATACATCATGTACAGTTTTACATATTCAATACTATAAAATTTATATTTCTGCAATCGTTCCTGCATTGTACTTGAATAACGTTATCTATAAAATTAGCTATCCTTAAAAGACTTTACTAAATATAAGATGAGGCCTTCAGGTACTTTAATGGCGGTTCTAATTAACATTGGGGTGCTGTTCATTTACGCTATCGGCCTGTGGGTCAGCAGATTCGCGATGGCGATGATAAGCGTATGCGCGCCAGTGCTATTTTTGCTGACCTTCATATGGCTACCCGAGAGCTCGGTGTTCCTCACGCGTAAGAACAAACTCGATCCCGCGGAGAAAACCCTTAAATGGGCCTTGGGTAAAGAGAACGTGGACGAGGAGCTCGAAGAAGTGAAACGTATCGTGGAAACCGAGGACAAGTGCAGCAAGATGACTCTCAAGGATATGTTCAGAGAGATCTTCACCAAGACGCATAATAGAAAAGCCTTTCGTATCGCTATGATACTACTGAGCGGCTTGACATTGACAGGAGCGGCTCCAATACTCGCTTATCAATCGTACATCTACAAGGAGGCCGGCTTCGAGATCTCGACCAACACCAGCATTATCCTCACGGGTATCGCCATCGTTCTATCTGGCGGCGCCTGCGTGACAGTGGTGCGTTTCACAGGCAAGAGATTGCTGTTGCTTTTCGCCGCGCCGATCTGCATGGTATCGCTGGCCATGATAGCTATTTTCTTCGAGCTGCAGTCCAGCGGCTACGATGTTTCTCGGTTCAAGTGGGTGCCTACGGTCTTCGTGGTGATTTACGTGCTCGGTTTTGGATTCAGTCTTAATCCGATACCGTTGGCATATATCGGCGAGATCTTCGGCGTCGAGGTCAAAGTACCCGCCGCAGTGCTCAACGCTCTTTACTACGCCATAAGCACCACCGCCGTTGTAAAGTTTTATCAGGTACGTTGACGTCTGTATCGAAGAATCGATTTTGTTTTCGCGAACGAGAGCGCGGTAAGCGGGTTATCGGAAGCAACGATCAGTTAAGAGGTTTAAACAAAAAAAAGTTCTTTATTTTGTAATAGTATTATACAACGCGGTATAATGTACTATCAGTTAATAGCTTTGATGGCAAAAGGGATTCTTTATCATTTAATAGTATTAGGAAATATATTATGATATAAAAATATGCAAATTATATTTTAATAAGCAATCGATACTTTAATGTTTGTTAAAAAGAGAGAGATCTGCATAAAAGATATCTTCTGAAATGATATCTACAATTTTGACACACTAGCTTTAACATGTTTTTGTTATAAATCTTATTCAAAATTTTACAACATAATATTATAATATTAAGTAAGAAAATCGGCAAATATTGTGTATGTCAAGTTTTAAAATACCAATGTAATCTTTATATATTTATATCCATGCTGAAGATGAACCAAAAAGTAGTCCAACCGTACATTAAAAAAGAAAGAAAGAATACACATTTATTACATTTAAAATATAACAATAATAAGTTCGCGCATCAATAACCGCGCCTCAATAACTAATCGCCAGTTTTCCCACTTAATTTGTTGATATATAAAGTAATTTATTATTTATAGAAAATTTAAATAAAATTGATTTCTTTTGTATAAGTAACAGCTATGATTTTTTCCATTTTGTTTAATATAATATTATAAACGAGAATTATAAACTTACATTTATTTAAATGAAAAAAGTTCAAAGTTCTTAGGATATTATTAAGATATTATTAATTATTGCATCGTTATTATATTGAGACTCGGTGTTAAGTTAATTAAATCGCTGATTGCTCAAAGTACGCGTATATGTGAAATAAATTGCGTATTATCAACGCTGAAATAGCGGTATGATTTACAAACCTTAATCCGAGATGGAATGGTACATTGCAGGGGTCTTAATTGCTACTCATTTAAGAGATGATTTGAGAGAATAAATCATCGTGTCGCGCGAGAAAGAATTGATTTTCCTCGCGCCCTGTTAATAAACAGTTTGCGCGTGCATTCGAGTACGGCATATGCTGTTAGACAACGGCAAAAAATTTCACCCCGCTATTCGGCAAAAGTCGTTACGCGGTAACGACTTCGCCTTAAGCGCGTCGTTTCTCGGTTCCCCTTTTTGCCTCCGTCAAAAACCCGTAGTCTCCTAGCATCCGGGATCTTTTGATCCTGTGACGTACGTCCATACCCTTTCGTTTGACGTGGCCATTCCCCATAAATTTCGGAATTACATTTTGCAGCCTGGTCGGTTACGTCCTCGCGTAGAAATGTTTTAGGACAAATATTTACCGGCGATCTTCGCAGCTGTAATACTGAAATACGGTCACTTATTTCTCTTGGCGAAACGACAGGTAGCAGACATTCGGTAGGGTAAAAGCGTACGACTTTTTTTCTCGATGATCAGATAAGACGTTACGTCGCGTGCGTATGAGTTTCCGAGATAGTTATCTAAATTAACGAACTCGCGTCCGGTTCTCGATCAGAAACCTTTTAGCGACTCTTTTCATATTTATATAATGACAAGCGATATAAACTAACAATATGTAATGGGACTTGTGTATAACGACACTGTAATTAATAATAATTAATAACACAAATAAATTATATAATAATAATTAATAATAATTAATAATACATGATATAAATAATTTGTAATATAGATATGCATATATAACATTTATACAAAAATATCAACTCTTTATCTTTTTACAAATATTTCGCACATGTAACAAATATATGTTTTACTCGTAAAATTTTAGCTTAACTTAATAAGAAGGATAATGTATCAGAGTAATTTTTTTGAACAAACGAATGAATTATTTCGTTCAGATAACAATGCTTTTTATGTGGATGGTTCTAATCTAAATGGTCTTGCTCTCCCTTTTCACTGGACTAACCACCTTTCTGATAATTAGAGTCAATACAGTTTCGCCTCTTTTATCTGCCCATAGTCGTTATATTTTTGTACTGTTTCATATAATTGGACCTCGCTCACCCAAATCCTTTTCATGTTTCTTTTATCGTGCATTATCTCGAATATCGAAGCGCTATCACAGCGATGATAATTGCGCGATTTATCGTTGCCATAAAAATTGCATTTGCATCAAAAATAGAAAATCACGACCGCCACTTGTACATCTACTATATATCGTATACCAAAATAATTTCTAGATGTTTAATTTTTTTGTGACTTAGATAAAAAGCATATGAATAAAAAATAGAATTTTCTCTATTAATAATTTACAAAAATTATTGCGCATTAATTGTCGTGATAATGCAATTTTGATCAAGCTTAATATTTTATTTAATCAAAGTAGATATTTGTATTGTTAACCATTTAAAATTTAAAATTTCTTAAAATATAGAAAATTGAATAGTTGCTAAAACAATTCTTTTAATTTTTTTCGCTGAGTATCTTAAAAAATTACATATGAAATGTTATTTTTATGTGCAAGTTTATCTAATCCGCGAAAAAAATAGCTACTGTATTTTCGTGACGCGACAGGTATAATGTAACTAGCAAGAGCTTCGAAGCTTCAAAGGAGAGGGGGAGGGGAGATCCAGAATCTTGGGTAATATCGTATATGATATATCTTCTAGCACCGGAGCGATGTCTTCTCGTAGTGGCGACGTTATATTTACTCGGCTGCAAGAGAGCCAGTCGAGGTAATTGCCACCCTTACTGCCGGCACCCTTCTGTGCGAAGCGTAATACCGTTATTTTTATTAAGTTTTTCTACGGAGAGAGAGAAAGAGAAAGAGAGAAGTAACTCATATCACCAGCCGAATGAGCGCAACGTTTGTTCTCCCAAAGGAGGGAAAACGATGAACTGTCCTAGCACGAGGGACAAAAAAAGCGTGACACGCACGAGATACTCTACAAGGTGATCTCGAGGAAAGAGTTCAAAGTTCGCGCATAACGAGTGCAAACAAATCCCTTAAACGGACGCGTCTCCTCATCAGAACTTCGACACTCGGACGTTATATTCCGACTTGATGAAGTTGTCTAGAACAGGTCGTACGATTCTCATGCAATTTAGGGCCGGCTACACGGAAAAAAAAAAATTTGCCCTTAAAAGACTTTACTAAATAAGATGAGGCCTTCAGGTACTTTAATGGCGGTTCTAATTAACATTGGGGTGCTGTTCATTTACGCTATCGGCCTGTGGGTCAGCAGATTCGCGATGGCGATGATAAGCGTATGCGCGCCAGTGCTATTTTTGCTGACCTTCATATGGCTACCCGAGAGCTCGGTGTTCCTCACGCGTAAGAACAAACTCGATCCCGCGGAGAAAACCCTTAAATGGGCCTTGGGTAAAGAGAACGTGGACGAGGAGCTCGAAGAAGTGAAACGTATCGTGGAAACCGAGGACAAGTGCAGCAAGATGACTCTCAAGGATATGTTCAGAGAGATCTTCACCAAGACGCATAATAGAAAAGCCTTTCGTATCGCTATGATACTACTGAGCGGCTTGACATTGACAGGAGCGGCTCCAATACTCGCTTATCAATCGTACATCTACAAGGAGGCCGGCTTCGAGATCTCGACCAACACCAGCATTATCCTCACGGGTATCGCCATCGTTCTATCTGGCGGCGCCTGCGTGACAGTGGTGCGTTTCACAGGCAAGAGATTGCTGTTGCTTTTCGCCGCGCCGATCTGCATGGTATCGCTGGCCATGATAGCTATTTTCTTCGAGCTGCAGTCCAGCGGCTACGATGTTTCTCGGTTCAAGTGGGTGCCTACGGTCTTCGTGGTGATTTACGTGCTCGGTTTTGGATTCAGTCTTAATCCGATACCGTTGGCATATATCGGCGAGATCTTCGGCGTCGAGGTCAAAGTACCCGCCGCAGTGCTCAACGCTCTTTACTACGCCATAAGCACCACCGCCGTTGTAAAGTTTTATCAGGTACGTTGACGTCTGTATCGAAGAATCGATTTTGTTTTCGCGAACGAGAGCGCGGTAAGCGGGTTATCGGAAGCAACGATCAGTTAAGAGGTTTAAACAAAAAAAAGTTCTTTATTTTGTAATAGTATTATACAACGCGGTATAATGTACTATCAGTTAATAGCTTTGATGGCAAAAGGGATTCTTTATCATTTAATAGTATTAGGAAATATATTATGATATAAAAATATGCAAATTATATTTTAATAAGCAATCGATACTTCAATGTTTGTTAAAAAGAGAGAGATCTGCATAAAAGATATCTTCTGAAATGATATCTACAATTTTGACACACTAGCTTTAACATGTTTTTGTTATAAATCTTATTCAAAATTTTACAACATAATATTATAATATTAAGTAAGAAAATCGGCAAATATTGTGTATGTCAAGTTTTAAAATACCAATGTAATCTTTATATATTTATATCTATGCTGGAAATGGACCAAAAAATGGTCCAAAACGTACATTTTTAATACACATTTGTTAATAAAATTTAACTATAATAAGTTCGCCCACCAATACCCGCGCCTTGGCTCTCATTTGCCGGTTTTCCCACTTAATTGTTAATACTCTGAGCCTCTCTCTCTCTCTCTCTCTATTGCTGTTATTATTATAATATTATATATATACAATTAGAAAATTATAAAAAATATTAAAAAGTTTTCTTTATTTTTTATTCATTACTAAACATTATGTGATAATACAATGTGATGGTAGAATTATTTATACTGTTTTTGTAGGTTATGCAAGAGTTGTATGGCACGTTCGCACCATTATGGGTATTCACTGCGATAACATTTCTTATATGGATATTAATTTACCTATTTGTGCCGGAGACCGAAGGCAAAACCTTGGAAGAGATACAATTGGAATTGCGGAGTGAGGAATAACGTATATGCGATAATAAAGAAATAAACAGATATTATAAATAAATTAAAGATTGCTAAATTATATTTAAAGTATATATCTAATATACGAAATATGACTTTTGACTCTATTATTATATTTATTTAAAATATTACAGAAGAAAGTAAGGAGAAAGAGAAAAAAACAAGAAACTTATATTAGAAATTGCATTCAAATACAATATACATATTGTCGTGCGTATGTATATTGTGCATTTAAATATATGTATGTGAAACGTATATAATTACGAGAACGATATATGTTTATATAATGACGACGACAGTTTGCGGTCCGTAAATATGTATGTATGTATACATATATATAATAACAATATTAACATTCAAGATAGACCATAAGAAGATTGCACAAGGAAGATAACGTCCCTTTTTATAGAGATAGTTTACATCATTACAAGATATGTATTATTATAATTGTTTGCGCTTACATATCTTCAGCCAGACGAATAATAAGTCAACATTATTATAACATCACATGTACATATATAAATAGTATCATATTAACGTATGTATTGTATTAATAAAAGTAGTACAAAAGAGAGTTTTAGAACAATATACTTTTATAAAGGTATAGTAAAATACAAAATTTAAACTAGGCCGCAATGTTCAATATATTAATGTAAAGTCTTCACAACAATAATTGTTCGCGCTTATAAATTTCAACTCCGGCCCCTCTTTTTTCTCACTATAATTATAAAATAAATTTTACTTATTTACTTATTTAATCTATAACTTTTTTATATGTTGCTTTGTAATTCTTTTGATACATAATATACATAGATAATGGCGTTAAATCGCATCTCGAGCTTGTTAAAGCGCTAGAGAGAAACGACGCGAGAGGAAATCATTACACTTGTTTGATCGTAAAGCTTTAACTCTGCAAAGAGAATCGTTTAGTAACGGTATCGCATACGACGAGATTCGTACATTCGATTGGACAAGTTAAGTTCTCATTAAAAATACATTTGCAACGTGAATTCGCCGGGACTCACTAGTTAAGCCTCTCTTAAAGTCTAATACCGATGAACATTTCTCGTTGCACTTTTTTCTAAATATCTCGATATTTGTATGATGCACAATTGGAAATACGTAACATCATTATTCAATGTAATCGTAAATTCTTTATTGCACGATATACTTTTTTATATCGCTTTTATTCTCTTTCGTTCAAATCGGTTTATAAATGTGCAGTCAAATTCGAACAACATGCTTGACTAAATCAAGTGTCATTGATTGCCATTTTAGGAAATATGATCGTTATATGCAAAGATATTGCGCTATTGCAACATTAAAAAATATTATTAAAGATCTTGAATATATATAACTCCTTGAATATCTTTTGTAAAATTTTAAGATAAAAATATATTTTTTATCTTTACACAAAAGAGAAAATTTTTATCCTAACGACAAAGTGGCCGTTTATAAATTTTCTAGTCTGTCTCTCTGTGAAGAGAACCATTCATATTTCGCGTTTGATGAAAAATGCAACATTCTCTAAAACGGACAAATCCCGAGATTCTGTCGTATGACTATATCCCGGCTACGCCAATGATGGTTTGCCAGCCTCGGAACATTGGCAGGACGTGTATGCAGACAGCAGTATGTAGACGTCTTGCATACTCATGTTGTCATTTCTCTCTAATGGAACATTTGTACATATGTATCAATGATATACGTATATTTACAGTTATGCGGAAATGCATTTATCTACGTGCGCATGTAATTGTTTATCCGTCAATATTTTCTCGCGTGATGTATTAATCTGAACTATGTATTTTCCAGATACACGTAACTTAAGCATATGATTAGTTTAATATCAAATAATGATAATTATTTCAATGATATTATTGCCTCTATGCGAGAGGAAATAAAAATACACATCGATATCATTAATCCCGACTGCATTTATTCAGATTTATTTTATCTTTCTAATGTCAAAATTATATTATGATTCGATAAATACAGAAGGATGCAGCCAGACAAATAATAAATGGAATTAAGAGAGATTATTTTACGATATTATTATTTTTTATATATAATATAATAGTTTTCTTTCTAATATATATTTTTTTGTGAAAATATGCGTCTTATATAATTACATAATATTATATAATAAAATGATAAGACAAATAAAATTTTCATAATCTTCCTGTCGCTTTAATATCTCCAACGTAATAGCACATCCTGGACAATTACTTAGCTGGCTCCGTAACTTAAACTACCTCCGTAAATGCATACGCGTGAAAAAGTAGGCGAATTAAAGGACGAGAGGAGAAAAGGAAATATATAAAGCTTACACGCTTACACTTTGCGCGTTGAATGC